CTAATAAAATACAGCAAAAAGAAAAAAAAAAATTTATTTTGCCAAATACCAAATAAAAATGTCTTTTTGTTTTTGTGAAGTTACACCTTCGACTTGTGTGATTCTCATCAGCGGTTAACGCAGCGTTTCTCAAATCGCGGGGCGCGTGAACGAGCAGCTCGCTGTGTTTATTCGCGTTTCCTCCACAACCGAACAGAACATGAGGTCATCTCTGAATGTAACTGAACCCGGCTCATCGCTTACGCTTACGTACCTGATACAGCGGGATGATATACTGTGGCTTTACAGCATCTGTCTGTAAAAGGAGCAGACATTTACCGCTGCAGCCAAAGGCACAAACATCAAACGGGCTCAGTGGAAAGTATTACTCAGCGTACCTTTTTTTTTTTTTTTTTTTTTTTCTCTAACTAAATTTATACCGCTTGTAAAATACTCCCAGATATTGGTTCAGCCAATATTGTTGCTCGTCTCGAGTCCAACAGGATCCTCGACCGTAAAAAGCATTGGCTTATTGCGTCATCATCTGAAAAATCATCTGTTTACACAGTCGGCCAGTAATTCGAGACACACACAAAGTGAAAGACGTCCAAGAGTACAGGATAATGTAAAAAGGCTCGGGCCAGCGTCCCTTCTGTTCTTCCCTCCGGTCGTAGCCAATGAGAATTTAGAATTTTTTTTTTCTCCACCCTTGACCTGACTTTGTGCATTAACGGTACAAAACCCGACATGTTCACACTCCATACTCACTCACCTTGTAACCTGTCACACACACCGAATACTGATGTCCAGCCCTGTTTAGTCACAATCTCACATGCGGAGAGAAAAACTTTAAGGCAGTTTTTGTTTTGTTTTTAGAATAATCCCACATTGGGCTCCACAGATCTCCAGTTCATTTTCAGTCTTGATTTCAGATCTCCCAGCGATTCGTTCCTTACAGTATGTGTTATGTACCTTTGGTGTTCACCTCAATGGGCGCCTGGCTCGTCGGCTACCTTTTGCTGGATGAACGAACCTGGTGCCTCATCCAACCTGTCGGAGCTGATGATGGGAGAGAAGTGAAAAAAGCACAAATTTTTTTTTTTAAGAGAAGTGAAAAAAGCAAAAAAAAAAAAATTTAATTTTTTTGTTTGATTTTATAATTCGCTTCGTCGTCTCTAACACAGCTCGGACACTCACAGCGCGGTTCGCCCGCTTGTCTGGAGTTACTGGCGCTGCTGCCAAATGACGACTGGAAGTTGTGAATGGTCTCCTGAAGTATTTGCCTTTCTCTGCCCTGGACAAAATAAATAAAAGAAGGCTGTAATATCAGCATGATTTATTGGGAAAATATTCACTCAAAATGCCGATATAAAACAAACTTCTTCCGACCTACAGAAAACATACCGGAAACATTAAAACACTGCAATGTCGTACCTTCCCAGCGTTGAGCTCAGATATAGCAGCCAAAATCTGTTGTCTCGGTCCATCTGTTTTAATGCCCAGCTCCTTCAGGTCTCCATCTGTCAGAGTCAGAAACGCTTCCATATCCACCTAGAAAGAGAGGACGAAAACCGAGTACACGAATACTGTCATCAATTTTTACCAAGCACGCCGTTCTGCTCCGTGAGGTCGTAGTGCACTGCCTGACCCTGCGGGTCGGTGACGTACTGTTGGGAAAACAGTGTCCTTTGCACTGGCAACCAATAACTCACGAAGGCTTTAAGGCCGGAGAACATTGTTTTGGACACAAAAGAAGGAAAGAAGGAAAGAAAAAAAAAAAAGAATACCTCCTGTTCTTCAAATATGGGCTGGTACTTCTCCAGGGACAGCTTCTTCAAGATACTAGACAGCTCATCTGTATATCAAAAGATGAAATAATCACATCATCTGAGGCCAGGGCCAGAACTTACCACATGGAGTAAGTTATTTAAGTGTTGTTTTTTTTTTTAAACATTACTGTGTAGAGTGGTCTAAATTTGTTTGTTTTTTTTTTAAAAAACATTACTGTGTAGAGTGGTCTAAATGGGTCATTTTGTCAAAATAAATGTTTTTAAAATTTTTTTTTAGATGGAGAAAATCAAGTACTAATTGTGTTAAATAAGTTAGGAACATAAATCAGATTCATTTATTTTTGTGTACGGGCAGAATTACACGCACTTCCACCCACTTATCGCACAGTGTTATTTGCACACACTGTGGGAAAACCTGGTGCTGGAGCTAAAAATATCATCTCAACACCCATGTGTGTTTGTGTCAGACCAGCCTCTCAGAGCACAGGCTAGTGAGTAAGTGTACCGCTGATATTTTAAGGTTATACTTTTGTACATATTTCTTGACATTTTCAATATAAATAATTCCATTATTTGTATTAGAGACTAATAAAAAATAGGAGTGAAAACACATGTCTTTCTGTTCCATCAACATACAGGTAAAAATGTCCCATTTAGAAATGTTTTTAATCGTGATTAATCGTGATTACATCCCTACCAAAAACAGACGCTGCTGGTGGTGAGTAACTATATAAACAGTTGAACTGTTTAAAGTTGTAAGCTAAGTGAGTGATGGCAATCAGAAATAGCAAAACTCCGCCACCATGTGGCCCAGGAAGGTAAAGCACTTGACATGGACAGACTGAATGTCCTGGCTCTTTGCTACTTTTATAAATACAAATCTTGAAATAATCCTAACTGGAACTGCAAAAAAAAAAAAAAAAAAATCCCAATAAAATAATTTAAAACAAAATATCGCCCCCTATCTATAGCTGAACCTAAACCACACAGGAGCACGGTTACTAAAAAAACAAACATCTTTAACCAGCGTTATTACCTTCATCTGTAATGGTCCCACTGCTGGACCCTCCGCTGCTCTTGGAGCGAGGGTGGGAAGACGCCGAGGACAGAGAGTCTCCCGGCCCAGTTGGAGGCTTCGGCGTGGGCGAAGGGGAAGGGGTCAGTGTGGGCGACGTGCTCTTGGAGGTGGAGGAGTTCCCCGACTGAGGTCTCTTTTTGAGTTCAATCTTCTGCAAGGGAATATGACAGCAAGCGCCGCTTAACACGGCGACAGAGCCAGCAACAGAACATCGTTTCACAGAACTCGAACACGCACCCTCCTGGAATGGACCTCCGAGTGGACCAGGCTGGTGTGGGCGGGCGTGTCAGGGAGGCTGACATCGGGCTGTGGGTGGCTGGGTGTCGGAGCTGGGGTCTGGGGTTGGCTCTGAGATGGGCTGTGCTGTTTCTCTGGAGCTTGAACCTTCACGTCGATGATGCCCGCCGCTCTCTTCCTCTGGGCTGCGATCTGGGAAAGGACGCTGTCTGCGCTGCCCCCTTGTGGATAGAGAAAGCGTTACATTACAGATCATAGAAGACGTGAAATCATGAAATTTGGCAAAGCGAGTGTTTTGTGTGAACCTGAGCGGTTGTGCGAGTCCCTGCTGAGACCTGCTACGCCATTGGCGCCGCCAGAGGAGTGAGGAGAGTGGTAGTGTCCAGAGTTAGAGGGCGAGGAGGAGGAAGGCCCCTTTGGAATGCTGGCAAACTTAATGGACCTGTTGACCACACGGCTGACGGATGTCTGTTTGAACGAAGGAACGGCGAAATGACTTATCGACGTTCGCAGATTAAACAGAACAATGATGGAAACATTCTATCGACCAAACAAACAAAGTTACAATGTCCGAGTTTCCGCTGCTGTTGAGTTTTCTCTGCGGCGGCATGGGCAGACGGGGCGCTTCGCTCTTTCCTTCCCGGAGGAGGCGCGAACGATCCGAGTTCCACGGCTCAAAGTTGGACGGCGGCAGGAAAGGAGGGATCACCGCTTTCAGTTTGTCGTTGGGCAGTCGGGTCAAGGGTGCACCGCTCCTTAACTTCAGAAGGAACCAGAACAGACATGGTTTAAAATGATTAAAATTTCAAATGTCAGAATAGACTTTAAGGTAATTGTTCTCAACATTCATTGGCTCGTGACCATGATTATGATGTCACAAATTTTCTGGTGACCAGGGCAGTTGTTCTCAACATTTTTTGGCTCGTGACAATCATTATGATGTCACAAATTTTCTGGTGACCCCAAAGACGAGCTACTGAGCCATCGCCCCACATGGGGTCACGACCCCAAGGACGGTGACATCAAACAAAAGGTCAAAACACGTGTTGATTTCTGCGAGTTTGTGCTGGTAAATATGACTGACTATAGGAATATAATGTATTTATGACGTAAATGTAGTACATTTGTAGTACCAACTCGTGTGGTATAAGTAAATATATTTGACCTACTTTCACACATAAACATTGCTAAACTTGACACAAATTATTTTTGATTCAAAAACTGTTTAGTAAAGATTTGATTAACATATATTTTTGAATATTTTGAAAACATGTAAACACTTATAAAACATATATTCTCACCATTGTGGTTATGAGAAAGTCTTCCTTTTCCGAGTTGGACCTGCAAACACCTAGAAACAGAATCGAAAACCTTCTTTTTAGTGGAAATGTTTACTTATTGTTTAAATTAAACAAGTCAAAAATATACTTGTTTTTTTAAATATACAGTATATATTTTTAGGATGTAAATACAGTATACACATTTTTTTTAGGATGTAAATACAGTATACACAAAACATTTTCTAATTCTGGTTTTCAGATCATCTTGCTACTGCGGCTCACCTGGATCTTTAGTCTTCACGGCCCAGACTGCGCTGACATCACTTCCTCCGAGCGGAGGTGTAGGTCCCAGCGTGCCGTTGGGCAACGCAGTAGGCTTCTGATGGGCCTTCATCGTAGTATCCAGAGAAGCGTCCGCATCATCAGGGAATGGGGCCAAGCGATTGGAGGAGAGGCCGTGTCTCAGGGTGTGAGTCAACTTCAGGCGCCGGAACCGATTTGACATTCGACTCCACCAGGACTAGAACAAATGACATATAACATGTTAGGTTTTTTTTTTCAATATTTAATTATAAATATTGGGAAATATATTGCAAATATATAATACATTATAATATATTTATCTAAACAGAGACTTGGCTTCTCTTTGACCTTTAGACCTCCCTTGTCGTCGGGTGGCACCGGGATGTTGTTGAGGGACTGACGGCTTTTGGAGCGAGTCATCGCGGCTCTGCTGCGGTGTTTTGACTTGTCCTTATCTACCTGCATACACACTGATGCTAACAGACGCACCAGCTCAGTGTCTGACAACAGCCAACACACAGAGGGAAAAAAAAGTACATTAGGACAAAATTAGTGATGAAAATATTTTTAAATATTTTTGGTAAAAATTTAACGCTGACCTTTAGTTAACGCTAATCCACATATTGTAGTAATTAAAATATAAACTTTTAATGTATTCATACCTGGGTCATTCAGCAGCATAACCAGATCGAATGCTGTGTATCCGTTCTTAGCTCGAAGGTTGACGTTCGCTCCTTGGTCCAGCAGGTATTTGACGATACTTTTACTGCTGTTGGAGGAGCAACGCAGACAATACAATCATAATGACACGATCAAATGACCATAAAAACACATTCACCAAAATGCAAATACACGGTAATAGGACAAAAAATGACCAACCCATGATACGTCGCCTGCATTAGTGCAGTCCAGCCATGGACCCCGTCCTGTTTGTCTATGTCTGCATTCTTGTCCACTATCAGCTGCACCACCTCTAACTGGCCGCACACTGCCGCCATCATCAAAGGTGAAGCTCCTTCCTGGTTGGAGGAATTCACCTGACTGGGATCCTCCTCCAAGATCTCTTTAACTAGCTGGAAATTCCCTGATATAAAAAAAAAAGTAAACTGATACATTACACACAAAAAAACGATTAGCTAGTTAGAATAAGCTGGAAACGAAACTTGTAACTTACCTAACTTAAGGGCGCTGAATACGTCTGGTCTTCTCCTCTCGTCGTCTATGGAGAAAAATGTAAGAGAAAGGGAGAGTGTGTAGAAGCGAGTCAGCATCAAAGCAGCAGAGACACAGTGGGAATTACTCTCACTTTAGTGCTGCAACAAATTAAATGATACCTAATGTACAACTATCTAAATTAATTAATTTATATAAAATTAAGGATGTTTAAAAATAAATATTACATATATTAAAAAATAATAATAATTGATTCAATAACGAAAGAATACTCACCTATAACTTAATCTGTTGCAAAAAAAAATTGCTCTCCCATTCTCAACGAATAAAAATAAAATATATATAACAAACAAAAAAAAAATATATAATTTTAAAAAAGAGGTGGTGCAATTCGGAGAACCTGTTTTGGTTTGACTGCACACAGAACCACATACCAAGTTATCATACGTTTTTATCATATTATAATATATTCATAATATAATATCATAAAAGAATATTATAATTTATTATAAATTATCTATCTATGATAATAATACATTATCATAACATATTATCATATTATAATATGTTCATAATATTATATTTTATTATATATTATCTACCTATGATAATAATACCTTATTATCATAACATATTATAATATGTTCATAATATAATATCATAATATAATATTATATTATATATTAAATAATATAATATAATATAATATCATTATCATAACATACCAAGTATCTATGCTGTAAACTTGGTACAGCAGCACTCCTGCTGCGACCGTGCCGTTATACACCTTTAAAACGCCGACCCACCTGTCAGGGGTCGGACGGTGGTGATGGAGTCCAGATAGGCCTTGATGTCCCTCTGCTTCAGCTGCATTGCCAGTTCAAAGGCCGTCTTGGACAGAACGTTGACACGGTCGGGGTCAGCGCCACGTTCCACTAGCTGCTGAGCCACAGCCACCTTGAAAACACACAATGTCTCTAATCTTTATTCCATTTCTGAGACGATGCTAAAACCAAATGTACCATCTGATCTTTTTTTTTGTGTCTCTGACCAAACTGCCATCCCTGAATTTACCTTCCCGCTGAGAGTCGCTGTCATCAGTGGTCCCCAGCCAGTGGTTTTCTGGGAAAAATTGACATCGGAACCCCACTCCAACAGCAGACGCACCGTGGCCTCGTGACCATGCTGGGACGCGACCGTCAGAGCTGTGATGTCCATAAACTCCCTGATGCTGCCCACTTCAGGACAACCTTCAGAGCCTCCGAAACCTGCTGCGCTGTGGTGTGGGATGGAGTTGGAGGGAAGGGGGGGCAATAATCAAAACCAGTTGCTTTTAAAAAAACAATCTCTAAACTACACACTGGAACGGACAAAAACCTGCAGCTGTTGTTGTTATTGCCATTGGAGACGACTTCTGCGGTGACGGCCAGGTGATCGTAGTCGTCAACGTACGCTCCGCTCTCCAAGAGCAACTTCACGACGTGAGTGTGTCCGCCACGGGCCGCCATAGTCAGGACGCTCGCGCCCAGCCGGTTCCTGCCATTCATTTCAGCTCCATTCTCCAAGAGGATGTGGGCAACTGTCAAATGACCGAACCTGGAAGAAGAAATGAGAGCAGAGACAATAAATGAGCAAATGAAAAGTAAGAACTGAAACAATTCCATGTTTATTTTGTTAATGATTGAGCAGTGATTTAAATACCAGAAAACCCAATCAAATATCTAAAATGAACAGCCATTTGACTTCTTACAGTAATAAAATATTCGAATGACACAATGGCAGATGTGTTGAATAATAAGTGAGATATATATATACATATATATACACTACATTTTTACTGCTGACAGTACTGAAACAACATTGAAATAAACTGGAGAGTTGCTTCTGGTTCATGCTACCCTATGTTAAATAAGTATAATTTAAATGGAGTTTGGTGAGAACAAATACCACAGCCCACCTCGCCGCCTGCATCAGCGGAGTCCAGCCGTAATTGTTCCGGCTGTCCACCGAGGCTCCCTTCCGAAGCAAAAAGCGGACCAGGTTCTCGTGGCCGCTGGCCGAGGCGAACTGCAGGGCGGTGTTCCCCTCCTCGTCCGTGCAGTCCACCGGAACCAGAGACAACATGACCGCGGCGCTGCACTCCGACAACGCTTCTGACCGCAGCCTGCTCTGCCGCCCCGACTCCTTCGAAGCCCCGGGTTCGAGGATGCTGCGAGCCGTCTCATAGTCGCCCTCGTCACAGGCACGGAAAAGCAGCAGAGAATCCGCAGGGACACCGAAACTCATGACTTCTTCTTCTTCTTCTTCTTCGGTGTTATTCCGTCTCCATTGTTGTGCTGTTCATTTCATCCACAGTCCAAAAGTTTCTCCTGTCAGTCGGCGGCGGCCTGTGTTGAGAAATCATGACGCACGGTGAAAATAAAGTTTAATATCCGGTTTGACGAAAGTCCTCTTCTTCCTTTTTTTCCCCTATAAATGTACCTTTTCTTCATCAAAGGGTTATTCTATTTCTGTTCAGAAACCCTTCCGTTTTCATAAGAACTGGCGAAAAATACTTGTAGCAACAAAACAACTCTCTGGCAACCTGCAGCACCGGCTCTGCCCCGGTTCCGTTACTTTTATTCTGTAGAAGTTGCGAGAATCCCAAAACTTCCGTACTAACTTTCAAAACAAAGTTCGCGAAGTGGGTACGAAGGGGATGTCTTAGCAAGCAACAGTAATTCGAAGCACAAGTCGGAGTAGCAGAATTAAAACTTGTGTGGCTACGTTGTTGTATTTTTACCTAGCATGCTCACACATAATTAATTAAATAATAACACTTTTTAGTAGTAGTTTTTATACTTATTATTCCTCCGCTCATTGACCCCAAGGTGCAAATAAGAAGACGGGAAGTTCTCAAAAAAATTGCAAGAACTCACAATATTGGTATAATGTTCAACTTTGATTGTTTTGGCGCCGTTTACACTGCCCTCTAGTCGTTAAAGTAAAACATGTTATATATTATAATCTCCAGGAGGTGGCACTATGGAGTTTTGGTTTATGGTAGTACACTGAAGAAGAGCTGGACCGAGGGACCCGGATGTAGGGTACATATTGCGCGACTGGCGGATGTTCTGTCTCTTTTTTCTTAAGTGCTAACCACGTTGTTGGTGCTTGTTCCTGGCTCACCGCTGTTCGCGTCATTGTTTCCCGAATAAGTCGGTCAGGAATAATAAAAATGGTATGTATTTTTTAAAATATGCACATTATTTACTTTGCGGTTATTTTAATGCCGTTCGAGCGATATCTTAAAGCTTTAAACGGTTTGTAGTTTCATGGCTAGCATTAGCACCGATAGCTAGCTTAATCAGGGTTGTACTGAAGTGTTAAAACACTATACCTTGTTGATGTTTTTGCATAAATCTGCATTAGAAACACCACGATCTGCCCTGAAAAGGGGGCCTAATTTTTGGAGTGTATTATGATAATGGATGTGTAGTTTGCTTAACTTAATTGTTCAACTTGTTTTATAAACTAACTATAACTGGCACGAAGACCTCGGTAACCTAATCTTATTATTATGATAATAAATTATTATTATGATAATAAATGTGTGTAGTTTGCTTAACTTATTTGTTCAACTTGTTGTACAACAAACTATAACTGGCACGAAGACCTCGGTATCCAAATAATCAGACATTAGCAATTAACATGTGTTTTCCATAAATAGGCTTTCAAGGACACCGGTAAGGCACCTGTGGAGACTGAGGTTGCCATCCATCGCATCCGTATCACCCTCACCAGTCGCAACGTGAAGTCCCTGGAGAAGGGTATGTACATTCAAACTAAATTTGCCACGAATAAACATTTTGTGAGCAATGAGGACAAACTTTTTTTGTGATCAACCGTGATGACTTCATACGCTATTCTGAGCCAAACATGTATTAATTTTTATCAATTAACATATATTGGCAATTGTGAAGTAATACTATTTTTCAATCACTCCACTAGTTTGCGCAGACTTGATCCGTGGTGCTAAGGAGAAGAACCTGAAGGTGAAGGGACCTGTCCGCATGCCCACCAAGGTAATGTTGATGATAACACAGGAGCAGTATTCAATACATCAATGTGTTAGCGTGTGTTAAGTTGACTCAATATTTCTTTTCTCTATCGCAGACCCTGCGCATTACCACCAGGAAGACTCCTTGCGGTGAGGGATCCAAAACCTGGGATCGCTTCCAGATGAGGATCCACAAGCGCCTTATCGATCTGCACAGCCCATCTGAAATTGTGAAGCAGATCACCTCCATCAGCATTGAACCTGGTGTAGAGGTTGAGGTTACCATCGCAGACGCATAAACATGCAGATGTTTTAATAAACAAGTTGTGGAAACGGAATGTTTGTTTGTCCTGAGTTGTGCTTTAGCTTTAGGTCTGATAACTTGTGAACTTAAATTTGAACACTGGTAGTAAATAATGACAATATGCACAAATATCAAGTTTTATATCTGTTATAAATTTGCAGATTCTCTTAAGTTCACCTGGTAGTACAAGAGGCTGTAAGCTGAACCTATAAGCTACAGTTGGTGTATAAAATTGTATGAGATAATAAGCTATTCAGAATATACAAAGGATATTTGTTTATAATTGAAACTTACAAAAATGTAACGTACCAAAAGTATTAGTAATATCTCCATGCATACTGTATACCATAATGTTTAAATTTAAATATACAGACATCATCTGTGCATTAACTGCTGCACTCATTAACATATACATATTAATGTCATTGATGAAACCTGCACTTGGAAACTCATGAATTAAAATGAAACTCCCCTATAAGTATGAGCTATGCTATAGCTAGGCTATTTAAAATAGAATTGTATTGACAACAACGACATAGCTACCTTTCGTTGTCTCGTTGGTTTAAGCCATGGTTTTTAACACATTACACATGAACCGTCATCATCTATGATATAAATAAATAAGTCGTTTAATTCAATTCACTGGTTCCTACAGTTTTGTTATCATGTATAAAAAGGTGCAACGTCTTAGCGCGACACACGGAGCTCTGCTCATGATTGGCTCAGCTTCTCACCTGCCTTCAATTAAAACTGATTGCCAGCTGCTCCTGATAGTTTGAAGTAGGACATCGCTGGAGCTGCCTGGAGAGGTTGTCATGATCACCTGTTGAGACAAAAAAAAAACAAAAAACAACAGCTCTACTATTTCAACATGAGTACAGTGTCAGAGGAAAGTATTCATCAGCCGATGGACATGGACCTGACTTGTCAGGCTCCTCCTGAAAACTCTTCACCCCAGGAGGTAAAGTTTTCACACAAACACACCTTAGACTCGCTGTAATTTGAACCAAAGCTACAATTATTTTGGAATATCTGGGAATGTAATAATGTGCGAAACTAAAACTATCGTCTCACGTTTCAAGAGTGAAGAGGCTGGTGTTGCAGAGCAGCAGACCATGAGAGTTTACCTCAGAGTCAGGCCTTTCTCTAAAGAGGAGCTGTCTGACCACGAAGACCAGGTGAAACTAAATCTGATGACAAACTTGTTAATATACAACTTTGGGGGAAAAGCCCTCACTTTAGCTCTTTTTAGATCCAAAATATTTTAAAAAAAGCTGCATTACCGCTCACTCTTAAAAAAAAAAAGCTGCATTACCGCTCACTCTTAGTATATTAAATCTGCGTGTGTTATTTCTTAGGATTGCGTGGTGGTTGAAAACAGCCAGATGGTGACACTGAACGCACCAAAGGGTTCGGCCACCCTGAAAAACAGCGAGAAGAGTATCCACAAATTCTCTTTCTCAAAGGTTTGCACCTCATGACGTTTTATCTTGATGGCGCAAAGATTGAAATACCTGTAGAATAAGTGGTAACTTTTCTCGGGTTGGCTTTAAGATTTTTGGGCCAGAGACGACTCAGGCACAGCTGTACGAGGACACGGTCAAAAGTCAAACGTCTGATTTCTTGGATGGAAAGAACGCCCTAATATTCAGCTACGGTGTAACAAATGCTGGGAAAACCTTTACAATTCAAGGTAAAAGGAAAATAAGATCAGGGTGTTGACATTTCTAACTTCCAATTTCAGTCTAAGTGATTTTTTTTTTTTTTGAAAATAAGATCAGGGTGTTGAAATTTCTAACGTCCAATCTCTCTAGTCTAAGTGATATCTATATATATATATATTTTTTTTTTTGGACATTTGAGGGACCCAGAAAGATCCGGGAATTCTCCCGCGGGTGCTGGACACCACCTTTCAGCACATTGGCAGTGACCAGTATGGAGGGATGGACCTGAAGCCCTACCTGAGGAACGATGTACAATGTCTGGACCCTGATCAAGTTAGACAGGAGAGGAGCACCAAGGCGGCCATTTTTGCATCAGTCAAAGAGGTATTCCTTTGTACGGATGTTTCCCACGATCTGCAAAGTAAACACAATTCTTTGTTAAAGTCGTACCACAAAACCTGTCTGTCTTCATTTTTAGGAAGGTGAACATCAGAGGGCCAGTAGCTTATCCGAGTCCACAGCCTGTCCTTCTCCCACGCTTTCATTCTCCTCTCTGTCCTACAATCAAAGTGGTATCAGCACGGACCTTTTTTTTTTTAAATTAAATTTAAATTTAAAAAAAAAATCCGTATTATGATTCCTCCTCTGTTCGTCTAGAATTCAACAGCAGCCAGTTTGCGTTATGGGTGGCCTTTTTCGAAATCTACAACGAGTGTGTGTACGACCTGCTCCAACCTTCTCTGTGCACCAAGACCAAGAAACGTGCCGCTCTGCGCGTGTGCGATGACGGCGCTGGAAACGCGTATGTCAAAGGTCAGAGTCAAAGTTAACCTTGAATTTTTTTTTTTTTTTTTTAATTTCTAAAATGCTAATAATTACTTCGTTATGACAATTGTGCTGATTTACTTCGCAGATGTTAGATGGATCAATATAAACGTTATGACAATTGTGCTGATTTTCTTCGCAGATGTTAGATGGATCAATATACAAAGCCTAGCGGACGCTAACAAGCTGCTGCAGTTTGGTAACAAAAACAGAAGTGCCGCGTCCACTAAGATGAATCAGTCGTCCAGCAGGAGGCAAACCTTTTTTTTTTTTTTTTTCTCTCATTGCATTCTGTTTTTCCCCCCTGTCCAAAGTTGACTTTTTTTTTTTTTCCCCTACAGCCACAGCATCTTCACAATGAAGTTACTGAAGATTGAAAACGGTTTAGTTGAAAGGATATCTGAGTCAGTATTGTCGCATCCTATTGACCTTAAATGTCCGCTTTGAATGACATTGTCATGACATCGTTACATTAGAAAAATCCCACAGTGTAAAACACCCAAAATGTCACAAAGTACATGTAATGAAATATAATGGCCTTTAAATTTCATTTGGTGTGAAATCTGATCCTGTTTAGTAGAACACTGCACAGATACTTGCAGGAATTTAGGAAAGACACACCAATCCCTGAGTCTTTGTTTTTAGTCCTCTGCTACCACCTAGTGGAAAAGTACTATCACACACGGGATAACACACTTTTTTTTTTTTTGCACTAAATAGTTTTAAAAAATCTCATAACTTTCCACGATAAACCTGATCCACTCAAAGCACACTGGTTGGGAATAACATTTAATTTGTAATTTAAACATTTTTTTTTTTATTATCATAATTAGGTTTTCTCTGTGTGACCTGGCCGGCTCTGAAAGATGTAACAAAACCAAGACGTTTGGTGAGAGGTTGAAGGAAGCGGGCAACATAAACAACTCCCTGCTCATCCTGGGAAAAACCTCTCTTCGCAACAAACAAACAGACGGACGGTGTAGTATTTGACATTATACTGTAAAAGTGTTGCATTAAAGAGAGAGAGACTCTGCACATGCGTTAAAAAAAAACAAAAAACAATGTATCCTGGTTTCCTCAGAATCAAGAGCAGCTACGTTCCTTTCCGAGAGAGCAAACTCACAAAGCTCTTCCAGGCTTTCTTCTGCGGCAAGGGACGAGCATCCATGATCGTCAACATTAATCAGTGCGCTTCTACCTACGATGAGACGCTTCACGTCATGAAATTCTCTGCCGTTGCCAAACAGGTGGGTGTGACGCCTGTGGAAGAAATGAATTGAATTGACGTCTGCAGATCCGGCGGCCTGACTTTTTTGATCGGCAGGTGGTGCAGGTGATTCCAGAAAAACCTCTGGCATCCCTGGCTCCATGTCTGGTCGGCCGTGATGGAAAACCCCTGGTAAGGAGTGGGATGATTGACAACCAGGACCTGGAAAGCTACATGTCTGAGGAGGAACTGCTAGATGACGAGGATGAAGCCGACATGTCCATGCTGCCTCAAGATGTACGGCCCTTGCTCCGAGTTCCAGTTTTGTTTTGTTTTTTTCTTACCTACAGTTTTTTTTTTTTCTACCTCTTTTACAGGAGCTCGTAAATATGATCGAAATGCTCCGAACAAAACTCCTGGCCGAGAGGAGGAGGAACCTGACTCAGGAGATGGAGATTCGGAAGGAAATGGGAGACGCAATGATTCAACAGATCATGGAGAGTGAAGAGCTCCACGCGTACGTCTCTGTTTCTTTTTTTTGTTGAGCGTTATCGGTTTAACGACAAGACAGTCAAGCTTGGGAGAATAAAAGTCTCAACGTTAAGTCGACAGATAGAGGAGCTCAAGGAGCGCTACCAAGAGAAGCTGGAGGACACTTTTGAGATGTACAAGGATGCCATCAAGGAACACGCCTACCAGAGCGCCATGAACAATCTGGAAGACGACTACGTGCCCATTGACGAGTTCATAGCCGAAGAAGAGAAAGTGGAGGTTTGTTTGCGACTAGGACCATGACTGCACTCGAAGTATTGGTTCAAGATTATAATCTGACTCTTGCTCTCTGTGTAGGCGCTGAAACGTAGAGTGGCCGAGTTGGAAAAGACGGGAGTCTCGGCTGTCTCATCGACGGCTCATTCGTCCCAGACTAAATCATCCGAGCAGCAACAGCCAGGTTTTTTTGCATAAAAGTAGAGGGCGCTGTAGAGGTCATGGCTATTGTTGGGGTTTTAAAAGTGATTATTTTGTCTGTTGAAATGTCCTTTCAAAGTTGGGCAAGAAAACAATCAGATGAAACTACATTGCAAAACGGCAACCAAAAAAAAAAACCTAACTTCTCAAATCTGCTAATACTTGCACAGGGGACGAACGGTACAAAAGGCTTTACAAAGAAAAGTGTGTTGTGGAGAAGATGTGTGTGGATAAGCAGCAGGTACAGAGGCTGGAAATACCCAATATACTGAATGTACCTTTAAAAAAAAATCTAACAGTAAAATTTCTATTTCTCAGTTAATCGTGTCCCTCGAGAAAAGATTGATGGATCTCAGCGAAACACTCCAGATGGTCAGAGATGGCTTTGTCAAAAAGTCTGCCGAGCTAGAGGATCTTCAAAGGCGGTCGAACGACAAGGTTAGTTCCTTCGAAGGTAGAAAATGGCACTTCGAGGTTTTATTTGGTCTCCAACAAAGACGTCGCACTGTTTCCAGATTGCTGGGAAGGACGAGGAGATTTCCTGTCTCAAGGCGGAACTGGAAAACCTAAGCCAAAAGGCCAAGCCGAAGCGCGGACTTCTCGCTAACATCAAGGACGCCGTTACCTCTCCACGGAAGCACGGGTCGGATCGTATACTCAGAAAAACGATCCGGACTCCACACCACTGAAATGGTTCTTAAGAACAGCCGATATCGTAGCCGTGATGAAACCGTTGTTCGCCTTGATGATATTTTACTGAAAATCTGTGATGTAAATGGTTTTATAATAAAATTTTTAATAATGACACTTCTGGGAATTTTCTGATTATCAGACTTGCATTTCTGTTACACCGACTTTACGCAATGCCAAAGCTCACATTTTTATATGTATTCTCCCTTTGTGGTCGACCTTTGACCATTTTCTACGTGCTCTATAGAAACATCACGCAAGGGAATTCTCGGCGAATTCAGGCTGAAGCTTTCATCTGACCGGTCAAATCAGGTCATCCATTAACGTGGAGCCCGAGGGGAGAGTGATCCACAAAAGATACCGAGACAAAGACACTTTCACGTATCTTGGTTTTCGGTCGGTGAAAATTAGGGTTTTCTAAATGTCTTGTTTACGCCGGTATTTGTCGTACAGCATCTCTGAGCAGAACGAGTATCCAGGAGTGGAGTTTTCCCTCCTCGCGGTCAGTGAAAGCACCGTCACAGGGGACGACAGCAGCGGCTTCTCAGTCTATCTGCCCTCGGTGGCACTTAATGAGATTAGCTCTTCATCCCTGTCTGCCTGAAAGCGGAGGGGTCAGTCTGTGGATTAGCATCTTGTTCAAGTCTTTCGTTACTTAATTTTTTTTTTTAAACATTTGCTTTTGACCTTGATCCTGTTTTGTTTTTTTTTGAGGTTTCCTTTTCTAAAGACTAAAGACAAAATGTTTTAGCTGCAGTTCAGTTTCAGGAGAGGACTGTACTTCATGGCTGAATTGCGGACTGAATGAAGCGTCTTCGACCAGATTGAAAAGTGAAAAGGAGCAGCCGACCAACATCTGAGACTCTGCGCTAGTCTTCCTCATGCCACTTGTAAAAAACAAAGTGGGAGATGATTGTACGCTCGGTAAAGACGAGGCTTTGGCTGATGGAGAGGCTTTGGTGGAGTCTTTGATAAAGGTAAACCTCTTCGACGTCTCTCATCCGTATTACCCAAGTCTCTATTTTACAATCACACAGATGTGACAGAAATAAAGCGTAGGTTCGCATTACAAAGTCGCAAAGTGTTTTTGTTAAGAAAGTCTGCCGTTTTTATTGTCAAAATATCCTGAACCAACCACTAGGGTATGTCTTTGCCCCTCTGGCTAAAAACGCACTCTCGCTGAAAAGGAATTCCTTGATCCGCTACATCTCTTTTGTACATTTTGTTTTCTAGGGAAATCTATTTTTTTCATTGTTTGTGTCCTCATTAATTTTTTTTTTTAAATACAAAATCACGGTTTAAATTCAGTTACATTCAAAAAAAAAAAAAAAAATGATCTGGGGTAGCCAGATATACGTGACTCAAAATGGGGTCACGAGTCAAAAGGTTGGGTTTAACCACTTACGTAATTAGTTATATAGTAAATATGATTGTTAACAAACAGTTGCCGAATTAGCTCTTATTTACTCCTGCCTAAAAAGACGGTTGTCACCCACACAGGTGGTGGCGTGTTATAGACACTTGGCGTCATGCGTTGGTGGGTGTACGGACAGCCTGCAGCTGCGGGACGAACTGCGACAAACAAGAGAGAAGGCCCAAAAGTTGTCCGTCTCCATCTGCCAGCACCTGACTTTACATCTGCGAGACAAGAGCCTCCCTGAGGAGCAACGTAAGGAGATGGAGCTCCTCTGGGTGGCGTTCTCCTCCAGCCTGGAGCTCTTCCATGTCGACATGTGCAAAGTTTTCAGAATGAGCGCCATCTTCTCACTGGATGGTGAAAGTAAACTGGTGCAAAATGGCTTCCAAGGTAAATCCCTGCACAATTTCACTTCATGCATTTCATCACAGTAAAGATAAAAACAAACTTTTTTGGGGGGGGGGGGTATTACAGGGGGAGGTAGCGAGGTAGCAGCTCGTGCACTCAGTCTGCCAGACCTAAACCAGGCTGAGAGTCAAGTCCCAGCAGCCGGCCTGGAGATCCAGGAGCAAGGCATCATGGAGCAGGAGATCTGTCGCATTGACCGCATGATCGAGGACATGGAGAAGAAGGTTAACGTGCTACGCTGGATGGTGGAACCTCACGGGCCGCAGTACCCAGACCCGGTGAGCAGTCCTGACAGTGCCTCTCTGGCTCTGCTCTCGGTGGATGAGGAGCAGCCGGGAAACCAATCACCGTGCACACGCCGTCAAGTTCTTGTGCTGTTCCTGCTGTTCGCCGTTGTTTTGTTAGCAACCGCCTTATCAGCCAGCATTGTCTTCTTTTCATGATCAAAACCTCCACATGTTTCTGTAGTTTTTGTTTGCATTAACGCGCACGGATAATATCAGCAAAACTGACTACATTGCAAGATTTTTTAAACTATATTTTAAACAGTAATTACAAAATGCATGTTTCCCCATCAATTCCAAGCAGGACATTCTCCTCGTGAACAGAAGACCTTTATTTTTTCCCTAAAATTTCAAGCCATGCTATCTGTTGCTTTTGAATTAAGAATTGTTGTTCTCTGTGACCAAGCTAGGTTTCCCCACGCCACTGCTTTTCAGAGTATTACCTTCGATATAACTCCGTGTCGCCCCCTTTTTACAGATATGCACTTACATGGCAGAGAACCAGAGTAAATTTTTTAAAAAATATGTCTGCAAAAGGTTTGTTCATTTAACAAAAAAATGTATCATTTTCTAAAATTTAAAAGCAATAAACTAATTACAAACACCAATGTGTGCTATCTTGTTGCATCATGATAATTTTGATATTTCATTTTATCATGATTATGATAAAATAAATGAATATTCTTTTCATTTTTAAAGTATCCCCTGATTTGAGAAGGCCTTTTTTATTAGCTGCTAATTAGTTTAACAGTGCTAATTAGTTTAATTTATTAATGCACACTTACACCTGTGTAATTTATAATATCCGTATTTTTAAGAATGAATGCCGTGGTTTTACAGTTATATCACTCACAAGGACTAAATTCCTAAGAATTATCCTGGGTGCCATTTTATTTATTTATCATTGTTTAGTTGAACGTACTTATTTCCCGATATTAGCGCGCTGTTATAATGTTATTTTATTTTGGAATTGGGCTTACTTTGTACCGGTAAAAAATATACGCTTTATTTTGAAAGGCTCCCCAGAGACAAAAACAGCGAACGTTTCCTCCACTAACGGCTGTTAACTTGTCTAACGAAGTTGACAAGGACTGTCAGGAGTTTTCAGCAGACGGAAGTGCTTGAGCTACGGTTAGAAAACATGGTGTTGAAGCAGTGTCATTCCCGACTTAAAACTGTTGTTTTAAACCACCCGGAAAATAAATTGTGTGAGACGTCTGCCTTAAATCGGAACATTGTGACACCGACCGTTTCGACCTTGACAACCGTGAACGCATCACATTGTTTTCAGCGTTGTACTGAAGCATTAGAGGAGCAGCGGAGAAGGAGAGGAGCTGCTGGACCGAAGAGCTGTCAACGTTCTGCCGGGGTTCACACGTCTATGAGGGGTAACTTAACTACAGCAAACCCTGACTCTTAAAAGTGTATATTTATTTTTATGTCTTTGTGTCTTTAGTTACCGCGTAATGTGCTTAATGATGTGTCAGTTTCCATTACTATAACGGTGATTTCACAAATATATATTCTCATTATCACTAGTTCGGAATTTTGGCCCAGAAATAATTAAGGAATGAAAAAATGAAACCAAAACATGATACGGCATTCAGTTTGGACACCAACTGCTTATAGAAAATACGTCTGTGTGAAATGAAGTCAACTGTCAACAACAGTGAACTGTTTCCAGTCAGTTTGAGCTTCTTTTTAAAGTCAGCCCCTAATGTTGTGTGTTGTCAATAGAAACGTTCGCCCACATTTGGCAGTGTTTTGAGAAAATAATGGAAAAACAGCGCCTCCCTCCACCTCTGTAAGAAATGTCACATTTTCTTTTCTTTTCTTTTTTTTTGCTGCTCGGGACACATTTGGTCGCTTATTTTGTATAAACACGCTGTACTCCAGTCTTTCCAGCAGATGGTGGTATAAACGAATAATTTTAAGCCATAGAGCAATGGAGTGAAATTCCATTCCTTGCAGAAACTTAATGATATCTGGCACAAATTCACACAATTAATATGTCACCTTTCCATTAACCTTCAGAGCTGAGTACATCCGTCAGAACGTTCCAATATGACCTGAAACCAGACATACCCAACTGTGATGGTAGGAGGCTGTTTTTCGACACCCACGCGGTGGTGCGGCTCCTCGAAGAAAATGGTTTGTCTGTCTTTTTCCGGCTTAATTTGTACTTGATTATATGTGTTGACAATAAATAAACATTCAATAACAATAGTATTTGCTTATTTCAGGCTTCACAACCCAACAATCTGAGGTGATAGTAAAGGTACTGTTGAAAATGACCACCTCCAACATGGATGTCATCTACGCTGACATGGTGACCAAAGTGCAGCAGGTTTGTTCGATGTATATTTTCGGGCTTCCTGCCTGCACAAAAGTCACTAGGCAATATTTATTGTATGAAATATTAATTTACTTAAGTTTTATGTATTAGCTTCTTTTGTTATGTTTTGTTAAAGGCTCCGTAAGTTAGCATGTTATTGATTTAAACATTATTTAATTATCACCAACAGGCAGAACTAAAAAATCAAGTCAGTTTTATCCCTTTTAAAAATATTTGCGTTTTTTGTGCTCACGTTAAAAACATTTTTTAAAATCGTCTTTTCAAACCACTCAAATTTGTTTTGTCTGACGTCTGTCAGGAGATAATGCTGCAGCGCGTCATGTCTCAGATAGCTTCCGTAAAGAAGGACATGATAATCCTTGAGAAGAGTGAATTCTCCACTCTGCTGGCAGAGAATGAGGTACATGCTTTAGCATTAAGTTGCTTTTGGGCTCACTATTCAGTTCACTGACTTCATATTCGTCTTACCACATTTTTCTTTCTTCTGTGATTTCGTCTAGAAACTCAAAATACAGCTGATGCAGCTCAAGATCCAACTGGCTGTAAGTTATTTTGTATATAAAGCACACGTGTGTTTTATATAGTCATGCTAAGAATCTCATCATAATCATCTTATTCACCAATTTCTTTACAAACCCATTTTTTGTTGCTTGGCATCTTACAGGACGTAATGAACAAAGTTCGCTCGGACACTATTTTGGACATGAATTTGGAGAAAAGCCGTGTAAAGGAACTGGTGAGCATGAGATTAATTAAAAAAAAGAATAAGAATCAATACATACATTTACATCGTAAAACACTAAAAAATACCTTAGTTCCCAACCTTTTTTTTTTTTAGCCACGGCCAAACAAAAAAGTCACAAAAGTATATGTAATAATATTCTATTTTCAATCGAGCCGCAATTAACCTACTCAGTAGGAAACACAAGCCTGTTTAGTTGAACACAGGGCTGATATAATGGCAGGAATTCATGAAAACACACAAGGTTTTTCAACAGCTCTTGGTCAGTGTTTTTTTGGGGTTTTTTTTTTAGCCATCTGCTGCCATTTAATTTTCTTTGTTCTGCCTGTCACATTGAACCATGTTATTTTACTATTTTCAGAAAGCAGAGAATGAAAAGAAGCTTCTGGAAACACGGACTGAAATCATGGAAATGGTTTGTATACATGCTGTGAATACAGTGTGCAGCGACTGAATTCTCTCCGACTGAAGCCTGTCCATTTTGTTTCACAGACGGCAGAGCAAGATCGTCATTTAACTCAGACCAACATGAAAATAGACACCGAAATTGCTGGTTTGAAAACCATGTTAGAGTCGCATAAATTGGATACAATAAAGTATCTCGCAGGTAACTTGCCACGTTATTAATCGTTAATGAGTCTAGAGGAGTTTTTAAATCGATAAAAACTGTACAGTGATAATTTGGCTGAGAATAAAACAGCCTGAAGTTTGTTCTAAAGTTTAGTTTAAACAGAATAAACGACAAGTTATTTCTGTCCTCTGTAGGTTCTGTGTTCACCTGTCTCACTGTGGTCCTGGGATTCTATCGTATATGGATGTGAACACAGTCTCAGCTCTTGTTCTTCTGGAGACATTCCTTGTGCCGCCCGATGTATTAATTCATCAAATGGCTCCACTGCAGCCAGAAAACCTGCACTCTGCCTGTACTAATTGCTACAAACTAAGCCACGGGAACCGGTTCAGACTATGACTCAACCGCTCAGTGCTAAACCTTGAAAAGGGAGTGTCTTCTCTGAAATATTAAGTCTATTTCAATCTGTCCTATTTTTTTGCATTTCAGTGTTCTGAATTCCGGTTTGGCTTTTTACCTTCATTATCATAATTTGAGGTCATTTGCACAATTTCCTTTACTCCCACCAAAACAGATATGATACATAAGGAGATGCTAATTGGGTTAGCTAACGGTATTTTGCTGCTGAAATGCTACTAAACAATGCAAATTATGAAGTATTTTTTAACTAATGAGAGTTATAATTAACTTTTTAACTTGTATTTATATATATTTTAATGTATATATTGGAGTTGTCATTAGACTGAAGTGAGCTCAAAGGGGATTTATGTAACTATTCAACCACTGTAATGCTTACTGTATTATACTTGTATTCATAGTCACCATTTCCAGAACATAAACAAAACTATTGTTATTTAAATAAACTGAAATGTAAGGACTACAGTTTATTTTCTGGCTTGTTATCTCAATTTGAATAGTTACGTAACTTAAATGTACTCACCTCGACCTGGACATTTATGGTACGTGTAGCTGTGAAAGTGAGATGAACATGATTGTATGAGTACAGGTTTATCTATATAGAGTTGTACAGTTATCACTATAATAATAGCACTTGGTTGATATATGGACGTAGTCCTACGAAAACAAATCAAAACCGAAAATTTAAAAAGCTTAAACTTCAAGCAAAGGAGCTTGAGCAGACTGAGACCGACAATTACACGTTTTTGGCAGTTGTAATTATCCATTTTTTAATTATACTAAAAGTATACTTTTTAACTTTTATAATTTATAGTCTATAGTACAAATATCTTATGTCGCAGTATTACGACTGTATTCTCCAAATTGTATTTTACCCTCCTTACGTGACTATTATACAGTCTTTCTATTGTTTTATTTTGAAAACAACCTAACCCGGAAGTGTTTTATCTCACGCTGTTTAAAACGTTGTTTAGCACGTGTGAATCTGTCAGTCCGGTGTTTATTTTTTAACTTGTATTTTAACATAATAACAGCGACAGCAGTGTGTACTCACAAATAGACAAAACGTAATCGGTTAAAAGAAAGTATCTACTCTGACTCTGGTATAACAGAAGATGTGATGGCTATCGACTAAGCTAACAGACGGGACCCAGGTAAATGTGCGCTTAAATCATTAACAGAACTATTAAGTTGTTTCTCCTATACACAATATTTACATTTTGTTAACTTGGTCTGTACTTTCGAGTTACAGTTTAGGTGTTAACATTTTTCAAAACCTTTAGAATTTGTGATTGTTTTGCACAGTTTAATGGTTTTGCTAATGGCTTTGCTACTGTTTGGTTTGCTTACCTGTGAATTGTCACTTTTTTTTCCCCTGTATCTGTTTCAGACGTAGGGTCATTTTTTACTACTGGAATAATGGCCAGTGCTTTCAGCAGCAGCTCGGAGACAGTGATTCAACGTGTAGTCGACGTCACAGTAAAAGCAATTACCGCGGTAGACGAACTCGAGGAGTTCTATGATATAAAGACAACATGTGACTTCATTCTTGAGAAACAATTTAAAAAGGTAAGCATTCTATATATATATATATTTATTTATTTATTTATTTTATTTTTTTACATTTTAGCCAAAACCGTACAGATATACAACTAAGCCACACGTCTAAAACCTGTTCTATTTACCATCTCATTACAGACGGACTGAAGTGTTGAATTGTGGGTAATGTATTTTTCTAAATGTTACAGGTTGCTCTGCAGTTTCCTGATGAGCTGCTGGTGGATTCGGTTGCAGTATCAGCTGCAATTGAGAAATGCAGTAATGCTAAGACGTTTATTCTGGGAGATACGTCTTATGGCAGGTAACGCTTCAGGTTATTTTACTATTTTATTTTATGTATTTGGTAATTTTGGTAAAAGGAACATAAATACTTTCAACTGTCTTTTGTATGTTTTGAGTTGAGTGCAATATTTTGACCTTGTCCCAACTGTATTTCCATTTCCGCAGCTGCTGTGTGGACGAGGTTGCCGCGGAACACGTCGGCGCCGACTGCGTCGTGCACTACGGCAGGGCCTGCCTCAGCCCCTCCAAGAGGCTGCCGCTCTTGTACGTGTTCGACAAGCGACCCGTGGATGTGCAGAGATGTGCGTCGTCCTACAGGGAATTCTACCCCGACACACAGAGTCACGTCATCATCCTCTATGACGTCAATTACGTTCATGCTATAGGTAGGTCACTCCACAATAATCTGCCTAACGACTCTGTGCAACTTACCCTTTCTACTTCAAACCATGCCATGGTTACCTAAAATTGTAAATAACATGAATATTTCCTCGTATTTTCAGGTGATCTTCTGGCTCTTCTGTCTGCCGATTATCCGAACCTTGTAGCCTCGGAGCTCGTCGTGGAAGGGGAGCAGTGTTACTGTCACGGCCCGGTCAAAAGGAGACAAATAGACTTGTGTCTTTCGGAAGAAGAAGAAGACAAACGGTCTATCTGTCAGTTTGGGCGACAGTTCACATTGAAAAACGGCTCGAGCCTAACGGATTACAGCATGTTTTACATCGGCCAAGAAGGCGCGACGCTGCGGAACTTCATGATGACGTGGAATCGCTGTTCATTTTCTTCCTTCGACCCAGTGACTATGACGGGGAGGGCGGAATCCGTGAGCATTAACCGTGCGCTCATGAAGAGATTCTACGCCATAGAAAGAGCCAAGGATGCCGGCGTGGTTGGCATCCTGGTCGGCACGTTAGGAGTAGCCGACTACCTCGACATTATCCAGCAGCTGAAGGAGACCATTCGCAGGGCCGGCAAGAAGAGCTACATGTTCGCCATGGGGAAACTGAATGTGGCCAAACTGGCGAACTTTCTCGAAATTGACATTTTTGTGCTAATTGCATGTCCCGAAAACTCTCTGCTGGACTCGGCCGAGTTCTACAGACCCGTCGTGACGCCGTTCGAGATGGAGGTGGCCTGCAACAAGAATAGGGAGTGGTCCGAGGAATATGTCACAGATTTTCGACATCTTTTACCAGGTGATCCTTCTACACCTTACGTATTATTCGACGTGTCATCAGTGTCGATGTAATGAATTTGATATTTTTTCAAACTTAAGGTGGTCAGAGTCACGTGCCCTTGGCTGACCAACTCGAGGACGCCGCTGAGACCGACGTGTCACTAATCACCGGAGCTCTGCGAAGCCACGGTTTGGTCGACAGTGAAACTGCCGAGTCATCGCCCGGTTCCTCCGTGGTCCTCAGGAACCAGACTCTGACCGTAGCCACCGCTAACTCAGCCGGTACGTGGCATTCAGGAAGTTCTCAAAAGTATTTATTTAACATTTCTAGCAATAAGAAGTGAAGGAACACAACACATTAATAATACTAACTATTATTATATTTCCCTATTAAGAAGTAGATATATAAATAGACATGGTATTACTCTTGAACTTTTGACCTTCTGTGTGCAGCATCTTTTTTGGCGGAACGAAGCTGGCGTGGCTTGGAGCAGAAGTTGGGTGAGACCCCTGTGGTGAAAGCAGCAGAGGGCAGGAGAGGCATAGCTATTGCCTACGAAGAAGAAGGAACATAACTGAGTTTTGCAATTACTCCCGAAGTGCGCAGCATTCAACTTGTAATTACGGTAATCTGTATGTTATCTATAAACCAACAGCAAAATTGTCTATAAAAGTCTGTAAATTAAAGAAAGTGTGCACCAGTGCTTGTGAACTTTAATTTTTTTATGGTAATCCTACAATAGAAGAAGAAATATGGTAAGGAAAAAAAAACAAATTTTTTATTTTTTTGTTGATGTACCTGTCCAGGAAATACTCATTTTGTAGTTATTTCTTCCACAAAGGATGCTGGGAATATCCCGGTGTGTCCGCTGCACTGTCCTTCCAGCCAGTCCTGGTTCACTAAACAAAATGACATGAATGAACAAGTGTAAGTTGATTCACATCGCAGTGGCGTTAGGGACATGGGTTGATCCTCACCTCTGGACAACAGAGTAATCGTATCCCCTTGGACAAAATTGAGATCTTCAGGATTTGATGATTTGTAGGAATGGAGCGCCACCAACTGAATGTCGTGTGACTTCTCACTAGTTGGCTTAAAAAAAAAAAAAAAACCACAGCATTATCACCCAGACAGTGTATGCTATTGGAAAAGTACAGCTGTACAGTCAATGGTACCATATTGATGGCTTTTATGGTGACATGTCATTAACAGGGCGTTCACGCCCTCTAGGAGGTCACCGGAGGTACTGCAGTTGTAGACTTCTTTTTATTGATTAAAAAAATGTATATATTATGTCCATATAGAAAATAAAATATATCCTATATGGACATATAGAATATTGAATATACTGTTACTGTAGTTTAAAGATTGAGTAACGTTAAAGTTTCTCATGTAGGCATTAAAGTCGACCATTTTAACGCCCTTTTAAAAGCACCGTTGACCCCATTTTAACTCATCAGGTCACTGAGTCACCTCCTTCGTGTTGCACCACAGGGTGATCCATCTCCCACTGGGCTGCTGCCACATGCGCTCCATGTCCGTGTTGTCCCTGATTGCACTTTGTTCATCGGCTTCAGAGCTTAAACTAAATCAAACAAAATGGCAGTGGCGGAGGTAACACAACATACTGGTTAAGCTGGATAACCTTTTTTATATATATATATATATATATATATATTTCCACACAGCGTGACCTTTTTTGATTGGGTAAGATTGGTTGGCATGGAAATCAATACTGCGTCGTGCATTTGATGCAGCCTTATCTGGTCTCCACACCGTCTGCAGGTACAGGCAGCGCAGCCATTGTGTTAGTGTAGTTCTGTACGTGGGCTCAGCACAGTCCTTTTTCAATCAGCATGTCGTAGGAAAATTCTGCCGGCACCGACACGGCGAAGCTGAATGTGTGATGGATTTTGATAACACGACTGTCATCAGCAGATACAAGATCCTGAAAGAAAGTGGCGTGTTCGTTATTTAACGGACTCTCGAAATGTTTAGCATTTTCATAGTTAAAAGCGAGACCAACCTTAGATTTCCTGTCTTTGTTGACATCTTCAAAAGGAGTCAAACCTTCAATATAGAGAGCAAGAACCAGAAACTAATGTGTTCAGTTACTTGTGAAAGTAACTTGTACCTGACAAATATATAAAAACATTTCCTGAGAAAGAAAATCCACATTTACCTGGTTTCCTGTGAGGCCTGGTCGGCGGCTTTTGATTGGGGGCCTTTCTAATTTCCTGTTTAATGTTTGGATGAAAACAATGCCATTCGATTCAATTGTTAACTGTATCCATATTAATGCAATTCACAACATTATAAAAAAACTCAAACTAAACAACAAATTTCATCACTTCTTCCAGAAACCACAAGTCCCTGAGCAAAGGTCAAGATGTCACACTGATACTTTGTTCTTTACCTCATTCTGTTTAGATGCCAACTCTAAAGGTTCCAAGTAGTTGTACGGAACAAGTCCTCTCTAGAACAGACAGTGGGACGTCTTGTTAGTGTTTTTTTTTTTTTTTTTTTTAATCAATTGTAATGGCAGTTGCAGTTTTTAAGGTGCGTAGTCGTGTTTTACTCTGTCGTTGAAGACCACAGACGCCCAGTTATCGTCTCCCCTCTGCAGCACAAACACTATGTTGCCCGGCACCACGGACAGCTCATCACTGGTTTCGGGAACAAACTCGAACAGGACGGTGTGGGGATCTCCTTCCAAAGCCCTGCGGAGGTAGAACACCTTTAAATGTCGCACTCCAAAAAAGTTCCAAGTTCTAAGGTTTCCTCCTATATTTCCCATTTCTCTCGGAAACGCAAGGAATTACATGAATTTGTTCAGATATAAAGGGAGTTGTCGAAACAAATGGTTGACAGGATGGATGGATGGATGGATGGATGGATGGATGGATGGATGGATAGATAGACAACTGGCAAATGTAAATAAAGCAGTCGTCCGCGTGTAGCACCATATTCCAATAAAATATGGCACGCTGGACATAAGTGTACCACTGCTGTAATGCTTGAATGCTAACAAGCCTCCAGTCACTAGGTGGCAGCACCTCATACAGTGGTTTGTACAGATAAAACTATACACGTTGTCAGGTTCTCAGTAGTATTTCAATTTGTCTGGGTGCGGGTTGGAGGGGTGAGAGGGGGCGTGAAAACATTTCTGTCCACAAGGGGGCGGCATAACAGAGAATAATTAAGAACCACTGGACTAACTGAATGCATGAATGATCCTGATGTACCTAATAACCTCAGGTTCCTTCGGAAACGTTGGCCCATCTTCAGTCTGTGGGATGGAAAAAGAAAGACATCCAGTTAGTGTTGCTGAGGACGGCTAATAATTGAATTATACCGTTAATGAGCTAGCCAAAAAAAAATCACTCCAAACTAGCACAAACAACATCACCTGGGGCTGTAACGGAGCGAAGCCGGAGAACTCATCCGCAGGAACAACTGAGGCAACCACCTGGAGACATTGTAAAAATCACCGACGTCACGTTCTGCTCTCCTGAACGACGGCTTCACATAACAATACTTCGATAATGACTTGTGAGTAGCTAAGTCGTTACCTTTGCTTTGCCCAAGTAGTCTTTCTTCTCCAGCTCGGCCACATAGTGCTTATTTGGTTTGAACAGAACTTTGGACGGGAACTCCACCAGTTTGAAAAGTTTCTGTTTCTGTAGGAGGAACAGCATTAGCCAATCACAAGTGATTACATTCAAACCAATACCAATAACGCTGCCTGCGCCCTATGCTAAGTCTGTTACTAGTTTAGCTAAATGTCGAGTGATTTGGCTTGAATAAAAAAAGTTACTGTGTTATTGTTTTAAAGCATTCGTGTCAAACTCAAGGCCCGGGGTCCAAATGCGGCCCGCCAAGCTGATTTGTGTGGCCCGCGGAAGCAAGTTTCTTAACCTAAGAAATTAAAAGTTTTTTTTTATGACACAGCAATGAACAATATTTTTAACTTGAATAAATAATAATCAATTGCAGAAACATTTATTAGTCTGTTATGGAATAGTTACATCTATACCAGCGGTCCCTGACCTTTTTGTTCCAATGACTGGTCAGCAAGTTACTACAGACCAGTAGCAAGGTGCTGAACATTGAAGGAACATAAAATTTTCAAAATAAAACAGCTACTAGACTCTATTCTGTTTGTATTAGAGTCTGAATGACTTGTTATTTTAAAACATTGCCAGAATATCTTTAAATAAAGACAGTAAATGGATATGACTGGATTTTCTTTGAATGAAGTAAATTAGTAAAAATTAAGTACATTTTTTTTCCACTGTGTCCCACTGCGGCCCAGTACCAAATTACCTATGGACTGGTACTGGTCCGCGGACCGGGGGTTGGGGACCCCTGATCTATATAGTGCCCCGGTAAAAAATTAGTTCGACCCCCCGATTTAAAGAGAGTGACAGACCAGTGTTGACTGCAGAGCTTTGTCGATGGCGTTGAGCTTGGCCTCGATCTTGTAGTCCAGAGCCTTCACCAGGTTCTCCTGGGCCGTTTCCCAGTTGCCCAGTTCTGCTTCGGCCAGTGCCATATTGTTGAGAACCTGAGTCGGAGATTCGCGACATTGTGTTAGAGGACGGGAAGTACCAGGACTTCAGAACTCAGAGTAGTACTAACGGATAAAACTCGAGTTTCATGAGACAGAATTGAATAAGAGAACATATCGGGGGTCCAAAAGACTCACATCACATGCATATAATTTGTATCTGAGACCAAGTGCTTTGTAATCAATCAGCTGGTTTCCCCTTAGAGCTTTGAAGGCACGCTGGAAATCACCCAAGCTTTCTTCATACCTTGAAAAAAAAAGAAAATAAAAAAATACGGTCACCTCCATTTGCACGATTACATGGGTTTGAACGTTCACTTTTACCCACTTGTTCTTTTTGTAAAAGGCGATTCCTCTTTGAAAGAAGGCAACGGCCAAATGTTCGTCCTTGCGTATGCTGTTATCAAAAGCCTAAAAAAAAAAAGAGAAATAAATAAATAAATGTTGTTTCGTCAGACAGAAAGGAGAAGCGGTCATTTCAACTTCTTCTTTTTCGGCGACACCTTCATGTCATAAAACACCTGTTTGTGTTTGTTACCAGAATGATACACATTTTGATTGGAAATGCTAGTGTTGCCGACATTCAGCACCTGTACCTTTTCGGCAGCATCCAGGTCTTCTTTAAGGAGATGGAGGCAGCCCATGTTGAAACAGATCTTGGAGTTGGGTTCTTCTATCGAGAGGAAAATCCTGAGTGCCTCTGACAGGTCCTCTTTGTCAACACAGGTGACCGCCTCGTCCCACAGACGCAGAGTGTCCACAAAAGACATGGCCGTCCGTTCGCCGTACACACGCCAAATTACGAACTGAAGGAAGCGCTGCAAATGTTGTACTGACAGAAATCAGGAAGTGTGGATTAACGGCTGTGTCATTTACAGTTTCACAAAGCATGGTCGGCGCCCTCAGTGTTGTCAGAGCTGTGTAGCAATGACACTGGTTTCTCTTAAAGACATTTTGTGGTTAGGACGTAGTGTAATATCAAATTAGTTTTTTGTTGTTTTTTTTTTTATTCCTCTGTTTTTTGTTGTTTTTTTTTAATTCCTGATTTAAGCTATTATCCAATAAGCTGGTCTATTTTTTTAAAATTAAATATGACTGAATTTCTGTATAATTAATTTAAAAAGTCTGGCTTATCATAGTTAAATAAATAAATTTGCAAAAAAAAAAGTGCAATTATGACAAAAAGATGAAAACACTCTGTTTTCTGATTAGTTAAGCGATAAAAATACTATAAATCTTATCTAAAACTTACACCATTTATTTTATTAAATCCATTAATACGTTTTAAAACATAAGTATTTTACTTAATATCACAAACTTTATTCAGCTTTTATTTTGAATATAATTTGAAAAATTGTTTTTTCCATACATATAAAACTTCTTAAAGTCACATTGTGTCATTTATAGAAATCCTACGATGGAATGTCATGATAATGATGTTCAAATTTTAGGATAAAAAATGCCAAAAGTCTTATATTATAATCCAATGTCAAATCACAAGAGACGATAAAGTGGAAATTAAAAAAAAAACAATTATGGAATTTTAATAAAATATTTTTTATTACTTACTCACTTATAGTAATTCCATCATCCAATTTTTTTTTTCATTGTGTAGTTATAATTTCGTATACATCATCCAAATATTTTCATTGTGTAGTTATAATTTCGTATCTCTTACCTGGAACCTTAACACGTCCACTTCATTGTCTCATATTGACTCAGTTCGACACTTGTATGGATGGAAACCAGATTTTCCATCATTTACAGGTTGCGCAGTTAATTCGTTTTGTCTCGAACTGGTCTATACATCTTCACACCTTTAGTAAACGTCAACTATGATCCCGTATGAGCAAATATACACACCACAACAAGTACACGTGTTGTCCTGCTGTTAACTCGCCCTCGCGTGCCGCTCAAAATCAATATTAAACCTTTACTTTAGAGGAACGATTTGCGTACTTCCGTTGCTCGTGTGGCTAGCTTGTCTCGATGCAGCCGTCGCTAGCTAAACAAACATGGCTCTGCTACATGGTCAGACAGCATACCTTGGCGATACCCAGGCGGACGATAACGCGACGATCAATGAGAGACGTGCTAAATGTGCAGCTGTAGATGGAGACTCGGTGTGAAGTGACGCTTTGTAGCCCAGTGTAGCCCTTTTCGAGCGTGTTTACACACAGCGGGGTTAGCTCCTCCAACTGGCTAATGTGAGCTAACAAGATGGACCTTGGAACAATGTTGTACAACAATTTAAAAGAAGTTACATGGAGTACGACGTCCCTGCCATTGGATCAACTCGTCAGTGCTTACCGACTGCCTCAAATTGTCAAGCTTGACAACGGTACGTAAACTTTTTGACATGGCAAAGTTTTCAGACAGTGGTAGCTCCCAGCTAGTCAGCAGCAGAGGTAAACTCCTGTTTTCTTGGACAGGCGCAGTTCATTTTACTCGGCTTGTCCTCGCAAAACTTTACAAAAAACGCATAATTTAGGGTTTTTTTCCCAGACAAATTCGTACCTAAAATGTCTACGTAGGTTGGGGGACTTTATTTTAAATTGTTAGTGTAAAATTGTTGACCAAAACCCCCTAATCTATTTGTTTTGACAGAGACCGCTGTTTAAGTGATTAGCGCGACACAGCCAAAGTTGTAGCTGGTGGAGTAGCAAGTTCTGTCACATTACTAGATAAACTGTGTCCAGTCCGACACGAGCGTCAGCTTTCGCTACATTTTGGTGTCAAAAAAAATAAATATATATATATTTGTGCAACAATAAAGTCCCAGTGTAATCAAACTGCAGGCCACTGTTACAGTATTTGAGATACAGTATCAACAGAGTATATCCACGAAGCCATTATGATAAGTAGTTTAGTAGAGACATATTGACTGAGGGATTTATTCTAAGTCTACAGAAAATAGTGACATGACTGCTGTCTGCTCTAATGGAGGAGCCTGGGTCATCAATAGTGACCAATAGTGTTGTTGTGGACAATGTTTTTTTTTTTTAGGTGTTAGGTGATAGAACTAAAATTGGGTTTAAAATGTCAATTCAATTCAATGCAGTTTTGATGAGATACTTTCCAGTAATATTAAATGATACGTGTGTTTTTATACTACTAAGGGAAATTACTGTGTACTGACAAACTTTTATTTGTATTTTTTGATCAGTCGGTAAATGTTGGTGTGATTTTTTTTTAGTTTTTATTTTTTTCTTACTCCCGCAGGTCAGTTGGTCGAAGGGCTAAGAGACAACGACTACCTCTTGATACATTCTTGCCGTCAGTGGACCACTATCACTGCCCACAGTCTGGAGGAGGGACACTATGTCATCGGGCCCAAAATAGAGATCCCAGTGCATTATGAAGGTGAGACGCATTCACGGGATGTGTTTCTCAAGTTCGTATAATGTTGTATTAGCCTGTTTCTGACAAAAAGTGTCACACAGAATGTAATGAGAAAACCCCGAAACGACCGAATTCTTGCAAGGTAGGTATAAATGTAAAGGTTTGTTTTCTCTCTTCAGGCCAGTTCAAGCTATTGGAGCAGGACAGGGACGTCAAGGAGCCGGTGCAATACTTCAACAGCGTGGAGGAGGTGGCCAAAG